AATATGAATGCCTTCGGGTAGGAGATAAACCCTACAAAGATTCAGGACCTGCACATGGGTGATGTTTGCATGAGTCCGATGGTCTGGTGAATGCCAGTCCATCCTATCGAAGTCGTTATACGTTGTAGTCCCCACGACTAAAGTACTGTCACGCTGGTGACCATCTTTGGGTTTGAAGACAGCATCATTGCTGTTGGAAATATTCCTCCAACCCACTTATTGGATGATTCAGGAGACTTCTAGTTTTAAGGCAGAGTAAGAGACCCAGTGAAAGGCTCTGCAGAGGGTTCCGGCAGCAGCGTAAGCACTCATGCTGTTCGGAGAGCTGACGGAGCCTATCTGCTAGTGTAAGCGTTATCTGTGGAAGGTAGGGACGCTGTGGAGAGTCACTGGCAGGCTCCACTGGAGACTTGCCGTAACGCCATGCCTTCTGTCACATGGATTGCTCACTATTTGAAAATCAGCTCCTAACATGCGACTGACCTCAGGAGATCAAGTGCCTCGGGTTCACCGAATCATGTGGATAGGCACACATCACAGCGATCCTTCACACAATGAAAACGGGAGCCTTTCGATCGCCTCCGATGCGTGTGAGCGTTGGACGTCGAATAAGGAAGGCCGAAGAAGAATGGGTGCATCCAAATCTTGGTGCTGGTGCAGAATATCGAAGGTACCAGGGTCTGCCAAAAGGACAAACCGATCCATCTCACGAGAAGGACAGAACACTCCTTAGAGGCAAGGATGGTGAGAACTTGTCGCACGGTTTGGGATGTTATCCGGAGAGACCCGTCCCGGGAGAAGGACATCATTCTTTGTAAGGTCGAAGGGCAGCCCCACAGAGGAGGCCCTTGGCAAGAAGGATTGATGCAGTGGCAGCAACAATGGCTCCGACTCAGGCTCGTGGGCGAGGGTGGCGCAGGAGTGGGCAGCATTCCTTCTGCTGCACACAGGGCCACCGTGAGTCAGAACAGAGGCGGCAGCACTTCACAACAATCACAGCCGGTGGACTGGACCTCTGAGAGAGCTTCTCATGAAGAAAAAACATCAGAGTAAAATAAACAAGCATCCCAACACACACACCGGGTCAGTATATACAGGAAGAAGAACATTTTAATAAAAGCAATAATAATTCTAAGAGGTCCAAAAAGCTACAGTATCCATGAATCGATTCTGACGCATTGTGACCTGTCTAGGCTTTCTGAGACTATAGATCTTTATAGAAGCAGACAGGCTCATCTTTCTCCTACAGAGAAGCCGGTAGGTTTGAACCACCAACCTTGCAGTTAGCAAGCCAACACTTAGCCCATAGAACCATCAAGGTGCCCGTCAAACAAGAATAGGCCATTAAATATTAAAAACATGCCAGCAGACATGAAAAACTAAATAGAAAGATGGACAAAGATTTTTTTTTAATCTCCCAGGAACTAAAGATTTTTAAAATACAAGAGAGAGAAAATTAATTTAATGACCAGAATAGAAAATGAGTCACAGGACTAATAGGTGCCCTCAAGAGAATGAAGTGTGAGAATAAGTAATCAGCAAGGGAACAGCATTCAAATTTTTTCTTAGAACCGACGAGAAGAGCCAGAATGGAACGGCCCACCAACACCACCCAGCACA